CCCCAGTAGATAGTTGTATGTCATAGTTGCACATCCTTCTAGTTGCTGTATGTGGGATGCGGCCTCAGCATGGCCGGAGAAGCGGTGTGTCGGTGCGCGCCCGGGATTGGAACCCAGGCCGCCAGCAGCGGAGTGGGCGCACTTAACCGCTAAGCCACCGGGCCGGCCCTGACCACGTTTTGAACATGTTTTGTCTTCATTCTTAAATATGGTCTGTTTCACTCTCTACTATAGTATGTCTTTTAAAGATTGTTCTGTCTTTGTCTTTGGTTTTCTGCATTTTTACTATGATGTATCCAACTACAGATGTGGTTTTGTTCAGTTTGTTTGGTGTTTATTAGACTTTTTGAATTTGTGGGTTAGTGTCTTTCATTAGTTTTGTAAAATTCTGCCCCATTGTCTATCTTCCTTCTTTACTGATTTAACATAGAACTTTTCACTCTATTCTCTATCCCTCTTACTCTCTTTTTATTTTTCCATACTACATTCTGGATAATTTCTTCTTCATTAGTTCTCTCAAGTTATTTTTAATCTGTTATTAAACTCATCCTTTGAAATCTTAAATTCAGTTATTGCGTTTTTTAGTTTCTGAAGTTCTGTTTAGTTCTTTTTCGGATGTGCAATGCCACTGTTTTACAGTTTCTTATTCTCTGGTATTAATTTTGAGGTTTAGTTTTTATTTCTTTAAACATGGTAAGCATAATTGTTTTATGATCTATATGTGTTAATTCCACTGTCTGAATTCCCTTTGGTTCTGTTTCTGTTGCCCATTATTCCTGCTGCTTTTCTTCCCAGCTCACTTTTACCTTGAAGGTGTAGTTCTTTGGGATACCAAATTAAGATAGAGAGGAAGGTGGTTATCAGAATCCACACCCTGGCTGGCCTCCTGGCTTTGACTTTTGTTTCTGTTGCTTCACAAGGGCCCCCAAACAGCAGCTTTCAGGTTGACTATCAGGCTTATAATTTTATTTATTTATTTTTTTTCCCCAAAGCCCCAGTAGATAGTTGTATGTCATAGTTGCACGTCCTTCTAGTTGCTGTATGTGGGACGTGGCCTCAGCATGGCCGGAGAAGCAGTGCGTCGGTGGGTGCCCGGGATCCGAACCCCGGGCCGCCAGCAGCTGAGTGCGCTCACTTAACCGCTAAGCCATGGGGCCTGCCCTGACTATCAGGCTTAATTTCTGGTTTTCACCTTTTCTTGGATCTTGGCCAAATTTTGTACTGTCTTGTTAGCTTTTCTGTTTGTTGCAGAATTATTTTTAAGATTTCTTCCAGTTTTTTTATAGTAGAGATAGATGATAGGTCTCAATTACCCAGCCCACTATTGCTGGAACTGAAAGCCCCCTTTCATTTTGATTTTGGAATGTAAAATTTGTGACTTCAGGCACTCTTGAGTTAAAGATTATTTTTCTTTGTATACCTAAAACTTCCACCACTTTTCACTGTGATAGCCACTATCAAAATTAAGCTTCCCTGATGCTTTTTTCTAGTCTTCTTTTTCTTAACTCCTTGGTGCTTAGCTTCTATTCTCTTGTAGTGCTTAACCTCATTTCTCCTTTTCCTTAAATTGCTCATGTGCCAACCTTATCTCTTTTACCAAATGCAGGTTCCTCACTTGCTAAAAAGTAAAGTGCCTGTTTAGTACCTAGCACTGTGCCTTGCACATAATAGGTCCTCTGTAAAGATTTATTTCAAAAATACAACTGAGTGAATTAGTTGGTCTTGTATGGTTTGTGTCATGCAAAACATTTTTTTTTTTTTTTTAAATTTGGTCTTAGAGAGGAGTTACATAAAGCCTAGGGGGTTGGGTAAGGGAGTACAATTGAGTGTGGGTTAGGTTCCAAAGCCAGCTCAAATGGCAAAATAGTGTACAAAGTTACCCTTGAAAATCTTTTAGGGTGGTACCACTTGGAGGTAGGTATACCAGTGCAGCAAAATTCCAACATGGCGAGGTTTTCCTCCAGCTTTGGAACAGCTGCTCTTTGTCTTCCTTTGAGCCCCAGATGAAGTAAGTAGTTGGTTTGCTTTTAGGAGCCACAATGTGTAAAAGCTACAACTAATATTAGAATCATACATAGCGAGGGAAGTGTTTGTACTGTGAGAGGCACACATGAACTGGAGAACTGAGGATCAGCAAAGGGAATCAAAATGTAAGGTAGTTCTCTTTTTTCCTTCCAGTGCGTGTAGATGAAGTCAAGGTTAATGCACATACGATGAGACTCTGTTCTTGTGCTATGGAAAGACAAATGTGTATATAGATCTTTTTTGTTTTAACTTTTCATTGCATGTGTTTTTAGATGCCTAGACAACCAGAAAGTTACTACAAATTGCTGTTTATAATAAACATTTTAAATATGGATTAAATTGCTTATGCTGTACCCTTATTTTTAGATTTTTTTAGTCTGCTTTGCCACTGGAGTATGTTAAATAAGCCTCAGTGTTAGAAGACTGACTGAAGATTACTTTGTCTAGTAATAAATACTAACAGAGTGTTCTCTGTTAGTAGTTGTCATTCTCTGAAGTTTTATAATATAAGGAAAGTCAGCTTGATCTGAATTACTGTAGTTTGGTAGAAGTGCCTTCTGGCCAGAAAGCAGTCTTTATTTGGAGTATAGTTGAGTTTGCCAGATGGCAAATTCCTCTTAGCGGCTGTCCTGCATTTTGAAATTCCATGTGACTTGAACATCAGGGTAAAAATATTAGAATAGCAGTACTTAAGTGTATTTACTGACAAAAGGAAAGTGAATTGGCCTATTTTTGCTACCCAAAGAGAAGCCTTAGAACACCATAACACAGAGATTTGATTCCCCTCCACCCCCTATATTTTTACACATATAGTCTTTCTAATGTTAGCATTAGGAGGGTATGGTGGTGGCCAGTGATATAAAGACTTAAGTAGTCTGCCATCACAAAATTCAGTTCCATGGGAAACCAGATCTCATTAGCTTGTCTCATGGCACTAGCTAAATGGAATAATTTTGAGGTCAGCAATAGCAATTATTTTGGGGGCAGCAATGTAAGTTTTGTATCTTAAAACCTGTGTAGCATGCTATATAAGATGCTGAGACCATTTTATCCCACCAACCTGGAAATTAAATATCACAGTCTCCAGTACAAACACAGTAGTGCACTGTTTAACAGTTACTCTGGCTTGAGATATAAGAACTGTGTTTTTTTGGCTGTCAAGCAAATTTGAAAACTATGTTCTTTGTGTCAGTTTGAAACTTTTAAGTTTGGACAAAGTCATTTGGGTATGGTTTTAGTTTTTCATGAATTTCCTTTTTTTTTTTTTTTTTTTTATTTATTTTATTTTTTCACCCCCAAAGCCCCAGTAGATAGTTGTATGTCATAGCTGCACATCCTTCTAGTTGCTGTATGTGGGACTCGGCCTCAGGATGGACGGAGAAGTGGTGCCTCGATGCACACCCGGGATCCGAACCCGGGCCACCAGCATCGCAGCGCGCGCACTTAACCACCAAGCCACAGGGCCGGCCCTTTCATG